ATTTGTCGAGGCCTATTATGAGCACAAAGCACAAATTTTCACCATTTGACTCAGCATGTAGGCTAATTTTGTTTATTTGTTCGGCAGAAATCTAAAACCTTTTACTGATTAAAACTGGTTTCTATTTCACAGGCTAATTGGTTTCTATTTCTGCTTGACATAACAAAAATCTAACTCACAATCAATGTCTTGTTACTTATACCACATGCAACTGAGGTGATTGTGCATCTGTTTCTTACCCTGGTGGTACTGTCCACTGCTCAAAGCAGTAGTAGTAAACTGGTCCAAAGATGGTGCAGGGAGAGATGAGGGGGATGAGGCCAGTATTAGACCACCAGTGGAGGGGTGGGAGAGAAGCGGCCCATCCAAAAGAGAATCCTGTCCAACCAAAGAGTCTGGAGGACACAGGGCAAGCGTGAATAATAGAGAATGACAGAGAATACAAAGAGGAGTTACCAGAGAAATAGAATACTGAGAATAGGGCGAGAGAGAGAGAGAGAGAGCCGAACAAAAAGACATCCACAAAGTACAGACAGGACTGATAAGATTAGGGAATTCAAAGAAAATATGAAGAGAGAAAGGATGAGTAGAAGGTGGCAGTGAGAATTAAGAGAGAAGTTCTGTAGCAGAAGTGGATGAGGCCCACAATATTCAAAATAGTTTTTGGGGGTCACAACAAGGTCAGTGAAAATACCTAATTATGCATGAAACTTTAACAAATAACCACTAATTACAGACAACCGGACCCACAATAAGAGACACACTTGAAATAACCTATGAAGTTATGTGAAACACACTGGGATGTAGTTAGCCGTTTGATCACCAGGTGGCCCTACTGACAATATAAACAGACAATGACACAGTCCGACCTGGAGTGTATGCACCAATTTCAGGAAAGGTGACACAGCACTTTGAGGTTTTTAAAGAAATGTTCTGTAGGTCATCACGCTAGTATGACCAACAATGTGCCATTTGTTTAGTCTTTTTGCTGCCAACATAATCAAGAACTTATCATTCAACCAAAGCCATCCACATGTTCTCATCAACAAGTGATGACAAGTTATATCACTGCTAGGTGAGGTCATGTGGTTATTCTGCAGAACGTATCGGCTTGTTTTCATCAGTGGACAGACTTACTGCTAGGCTTGCCGCGATAGACGGTGTTGATGGTGATACCGGTGTTAAGCCGCAACACCGGTTACGTCACTTGCCCACCGACCCCCACCGTCGTTTTGATTTTTTTAGTAATAAAAATACTTTAGTTCAGTAAAAGAACAGACACTACAATTAAAAACTGAACGCGGCTGCTCAATGCAGCGTGCCGAACGACTTTCCACGAAGGAAAGAGAGGAAAAGAGGGAAAATTCAAACGAACTAAAAACTAACAATTGCTTTACTCCGAATTGCCGCTATTTGAAAGTGAAAGTAAAATGGGCACACCGCCTTTACAAGCTATTTAAAAGCGAAGGAAAGCGAGGAAAAGAGGGAACGCCCCGCCCCCGCTGTGATACCGGTATTACCAGTGTTGTCACACGTCGATTAACCGGTGGGAAAATTTCCTCTCCGTCACAACCCTACTTACTGCTGTTATTGATTCTCTTTTTTAAAAATGCCACCGTGAATTAAAAGACTCTAATGGACCAAAGAGCCTGCTTTATTTCCTGGTACATAGAAAATGTAGTAAATCTAATATCTGATAGCTGAAATAGAGCAGGAAATGTGTGCCAAAGCAATCTCAATAAAACGATAAAGCTAAGCCTTATCCAGTAATCACAAACCTGTGATCTATCAAGTACCATGCGACAAGAATATCCATGTGCTGCTTCAGCGGTCTGCACTAAAGTGTTATATTTAGAGTAAAGGGTTTGTTTAAAACCATAGCCATTTACAGGAAACTTGTAGGTGGCAACAGCCATGCTACCTACTTATTGTGCTGCTACAGAGGTTCATAGCTGGCAGTAATTATGCCATCCAGAACACCTTGCAGATTTTCCCAGCCTAATGTCAGCAGATTCAATGCTTCAGTGAGCAGCTGTATGATAAAGAATAGGAGCATATTTACAGAACTGCTGACCTGGTATTGCAGCTGACCCAGGATCAGTCTGTAGAGGATCCAGACCAGGGATCAGAGAATCCATCCCAGCTGCAGAAAAAAAGAAAACAGTCAAATATGATGCTTTGTGTAACAAAGGTAAAGGTGAGATAGATGGCCATGGTGACATCAATTCACTCCATGCATGAAGCAGCACTCTCTAAACCAGATCTTTTAAAGATATACTGATGTCTGATGAAGACAAAGTTTACAACAACTAAACAGGCAAGAGAGATGAGACCGCAGTGGAGATATAAGTACAGGACAGACAGGAAGGAGTAGCCATAAAAAGGCACATCCAGGAGTTCCAGGTATTGCTCTGAGTTGAACTGAGAAAACAATCAATATTAAAAGACCAACGGAGGCCATTGAAGGCCAGGCTATGTATCGGTTGTGGGTTTATTAAGCAAAAAAACAACAACAAACAGATAATTGTCTGATTACCATGACTACAGTCTGCAGGGCTGAAGGGGTCATTCAAGGGAAGGTCAGGGAGGATCAGGGAGGAAGAGGGCTCTGGAAACTTCAAACCCTCGATCAACTTCTCTACTCCATGAGAGAAGAGGAGACAATGAAGAGAAGACGTAAAGAGAAGAGAGAGGAAGGAGCGAGGAGAGAAGAGACAGTTAGGTGAGAAGAAACCGTCAGGGGGAAAGGAAACAGTGAGGAAAGGATAAGGGAGAGGAGAAAACGAGGAGAAGAGAATAGAAAATGAGACGGAAAAGAAACAGTGAGGAAAGGATAGGAGAGGAGAGGAGATGAGGAAACAGTGAGGAAAGGATAAGGGAGAAGAGATAGAGAGGAGAGGAGAGGAGGAAACAGTGAGGAAAGGATAAGGGAGAAGAGATAGTGAGGAGAGGAGAGGAGAGGAGGAAACAGTGAGGAAAGGATAAGGGAGAAGAGATGGTGAGGAGATGAGAGGAGAGGAGAGGAGGAAACAGTGAGGAAAGGATAAGGGAGAAGAGATGGGGAGGAGAGGAGAGGAGGAAACAGTGCGGAAAGGATAAGGGAGAAGAGATAGAGAGGAGAGGAGAGGAGGAAACAGTGAGGAAAGGATAAGGGAGAAGAGATGGGGAGGAGAGGAGAGGAGGAAACAGTGCGGAAAGGATAAGGGAGAAGAGATAGAGAGGAGAGGAGAGGAGGAAACAGTGAGGAAAGGATAAGGGAGAAGAGATGGGGAGGAGAGGAGAGGAGGAAACAGTGCGGAAAGGATAAGGGAGAAGAGATAGAGAGGAGAGGAGAGGAGGAAACAGTGAGGAAAGGATAAGGGAGAAGAGATGGGGAGGAGAGGAGAGGAGGAAACAGTGCGGAAAGGATAAGGGAGAAGAGATAGAGAGGAGAGGAGAGGAGGAAACAGTGAGGAAAGGATAAGGGAGAAGAGATGGGGAGGAGAGGAGAGGAGGAAACAGTGCGGAAAGGATAAGGGAGAAGAGATAGAGAGGAGAGGAGAGGAGGAAACAGTGAGGAAAGGATAAGGGAGAAGAGATGGGGAGGAGAGGAGAGGAGGAAACAGTGCGGAAAGGATAAGGGAGAAGAGATAGAGAGGAGAGGAGAGGAGGAAACAGTGAGGAAAGGATAAGGGAGAAGAGATGGGGAGGAGAGGAGAGGAGGAAACAGTGCGGAAAGGATAAGGGAGAAGAGATAGAGAGGAGAGGAGAGGAGGAAACAGTGAGGAAAGGATAAGGGAGAAGAGATGGGGAGGAGAGGAGAGGAGGAAACAGTGCGGAAAGGATAAGGGAGAAGAGATAGAGAGGAGAGGAGAGGAGGAAACAGTGAGGAAAGGATAAGGGAGAAGAGATGGGGAGGAGAGGAGAGGAGGAAACAGTGCGGAAAGGATAAGGGAGAAGAGATAGAGAGGAGAGGAGAGGAGGAAACAGTGAGGAAAGGATAAGGGAGAAGAGATGGGGAGGAGAGGAGAGGAGGAAACAGTGCGGAAAGGATAAGGGAGAAGAGATAGAGAGGAGAGGAGAGGAGGAAACAGTGAGGAAAGGATAAGGGAGAAGAGATGGGGAGGAGAGGAGAGGAGGAAACAGTGCGGAAAGGATAAGGGAGAAGAGATAGAGAGGAGAGGAGAGGAGGAAACAGTGAGGAAAGGATAAGGGAGAAGAGATGGGGAGGAGAGGAGAGGAGGAAACAGTGCGGAAAGGATAAGGGAGAAGAGATAGAGAGGAGAGGAGAGGAGGAAACAGTGAGGAAAGGATAAGGGAGAAGAGATGGGGAGGAGAGGAGAGGAGGAAACAGTGCGGAAAGGATAAGGGAGAAGAGATAGAGAGGAGAGGAGAGGAGGAAACAGTGAGGAAAGGATAAGGGAGAAGAGATGGGGAGGAGAGGAGAGGAGGAAACAGTGCGGAAAGGATAAGGGAGAAGAGATAGAGAGGAGAGGAGAGGAGGAAACAGTGAGGAAAGGATAAGGGAGAAGAGATGGGGAGGAGAGGAGAGGAGGAAACAGTGCGGAAAGGATAAGGGAGAAGAGATAGAGAGGAGAGGAGAGGAGGAAACAGTGAGGAAAGGATAAGGGAGAAGAGATGGGGAGGAGAGGAGAGGAGGAAACAGTGCGGAAAGGATAAGGGAGAAGAGATAGAGAGGAGAGGAGAGGAGGAAACAGTGAGGAAAGGATAAGGGAGAAGAGATGGGGAGGAGAGGAGAGGAGGAAACAGTGCGGAAAGGATAAGGGAGAAGAGATAGAGAGGAGAGGAGAGGAGGAAACAGTGAGGAAAGGATAAGGGAGAAGAGATGGGGAGGAGAGGAGAGGAGGAAACAGTGCGGAAAGGATAAGGGAGAAGAGATAGAGAGGAGAGGAGAGGAGGAAACAGTGAGGAAAGGATAAGGGAGAAGAGATGGGGAGGAGAGGAGAGGAGGAAACAGTGCGGAAAGGATAAGGGAGAAGAGATAGAGAGGAGAGGAGAGGAGGAAACAGTGAGGAAAGGATAAGGGAGAAGAGATGGGGAGGAGAGGAGAGGAGGAAACAGTGCGGAAAGGATAAGGGAGAAGAGATAGAGAGGAGAGGAGAGGAGGAAACAGTGAGGAAAGGATAAGGGAGAAGAGATGGGGAGGAGAGGAGAGGAGGAAACAGTGCGGAAAGGATAAGGGAGAAGAGATAGAGAGGAGAGGAGAGGAGGAAACAGTGAGGAAAGGATAAGGGAGAAGAGATGGGGAGGAGAGGAGAGGAGGAAACAGTGCGGAAAGGATAAGGGAGAAGAGATAGAGAGGAGAGGAGAGGAGGAAACAGTGAGGAAAGGATAAGGGAGAAGAGATGGGGAGGAGAGGAGAGGAGGAAACAGTGCGGAAAGGATAAGGGAGAAGAGATAGAGAGGAGAGGAGAGGAGGAAACAGTGAGGAAAGGATAAGGGAGAAGAGATGGGGAGGAGAGGAGAGGAGGAAACAGTGCGGAAAGGATAAGGGAGAAGAGATAGAGAGGAGAGGAGAGGAGGAAACAGTGAGGAAAGGATAAGGGAGAAGAGATGGGGAGGAGAGGAGAGGAGGAAACAGTGCGGAAAGGATAAGGGAGAAGAGATAGAGAGGAGAGGAGAGGAGGAAACAGTGAGGAAAGGATAAGGGAGAAGAGATGGGGAGGAGAGGAGAGGAGGAAACAGTGCGGAAAGGATAAGGGAGAAGAGATAGAGAGGAGAGGAGAGGAGGAAACAGTGAGGAAAGGATAAGGGAGAAGAGATGGGGAGGAGAGGAGAGGAGGAAACAGTGCGGAAAGGATAAGGGAGAAGAGATAGAGAGGAGAGGAGAGGAGGAAACAGTGAGGAAAGGATAAGGGAGAAGAGATGGGGAGGAGAGGAGAGGAGGAAACAGTGCGGAAAGGATAAGGGAGAAGAGATAGAGAGGAGAGGAGAGGAGGAAACAGTGAGGAAAGGATAAGGGAGAAGAGATGGGGAGGAGAGGAGAGGAGGAAACAGTGCGGAAAGGATAAGGGAGAAGAGATAGAGAGGAGAGGAGAGGAGGAAACAGTGAGGAAAGGATAAGGGAGAAGAGATGGGGAGGAGAGGAGAGGAGGAAACAGTGCGGAAAGGATAAGGGAGAAGAGATAGAGAGGAGAGGAGAGGAGGAAACAGTGAGGAAAGGATAAGGGAGAAGAGATGGGGAGGAGAGGAGAGGAGGAAACAGTGCGGAAAGGATAAGGGAGAAGAGATAGAGAGGAGAGGAGAGGAGGAAACAGTGAGGAAAGGATAAGGGAGAAGAGATGGGGAGGAGAGGAGAGGAGGAAACAGTGCGGAAAGGATAAGGGAGAAGAGATAGAGAGGAGAGGAGAGGAGGAAACAGTGAGGAAAGGATAAGGGAGAAGAGATGGGGAGGAGAGGAGAGGAGGAAACAGTGCGGAAAGGATAAGGGAGAAGAGATAGAGAGGAGAGGAGAGGAGGAAACAGTGAGGAAAGGATAAGGGAGAAGAGATGGGGAGGAGAGGAGAGGAGGAAACAGTGCGGAAAGGATAAGGGAGAAGAGATAGAGAGGAGAGGAGAGGAGGAAACAGTGAGGAAAGGATAAGGGAGAAGAGATGGGGAGGAGAGGAGAGGAGGAAACAGTGCGGAAAGGATAAGGGAGAAGAGATAGAGAGGAGAGGAGAGGAGGAAACAGTGAGGAAAGGATAAGGGAGAAGAGATGGGGAGGAGAGGAGAGGAGGAAACAGTGCGGAAAGGATAAGGGAGAAGAGATAGAGAGGAGAGGAGAGGAGGAAACAGTGAGGAAAGGATAAGGGAGAAGAGATGGGGAGGAGAGGAGAGGAGGAAACAGTGCGGAAAGGATAAGGGAGAAGAGATAGAGAGGAGAGGAGAGGAGGAAACAGTGAGGAAAGGATAAGGGAGAAGAGATGGGGAGGAGAGGAGAGGAGGAAACAGTGCGGAAAGGATAAGGGAGAAGAGATAGAGAGGAGAGGAGAGGAGGAAACAGTGAGGAAAGGATAAGGGAGAAGAGATGGGGAGGAGAGGAGAGGAGGAAACAGTGCGGAAAGGATAAGGGAGAAGAGATAGAGAGGAGAGGAGAGGAGGAAACAGTGAGGAAAGGATAAGGGAGAAGAGATGGGGAGGAGAGGAGAGGAGGAAACAGTG